TAAATCAGAAGATGTTTGAGAAAAAAATGGAACAGATTGAATTGAAGACAAATACATTAGAGCAAACAGGGGGAACTGGAATAACAGGGAGACAATTTAATGGATACAAATGGGCAATCAAATGGTCTCCTTTAATTCAAACAATGTGTAAGAATAGAGGGAGATTTATTTGATGATTTAAAGACACTGATAGGGAAGCCTAATTGGCAAAGGAAGAAAGCTAGAATAAGGTTGAAAAAAATGGGACTTTGACTCATTAGAGGGGGTTTTATATTGCCAATAAGAGGGTTAAAGGGAAATGTGGAGATAAGGGGAGTTTTGGTTTTTAGATTTATAATATTTGGAAACTACTTGAAAATAAGGATTTTATTGGCTCAATATTTAAAAATTGGACTTAAAAGGGAAAAGAAAGTTAAATACTATGAATATGTTTGATTTATTGATTAACCCAGGCAATATATAGAATGGCCTTGATTTATTAAAGGGGATATTGTGCTATTAAGTAGATGATTAAATATGATGGGAAATAGATAACTCTTAGGAAATAGAACAAGATTATATTTAAATAGATAAAATATGTATTTTGGATATTATAATTTGGTAAGAAGTGAGATAAGGGAAATTTTGGTTGCCCAAAGTTTGAAAACTATAAATATTAAAGGTTAAATTGGAATATTGATAAGAAATTAAAAATTGAGTAAAATTAATAATAGGATATGGATTGTTTATGAAGATTGAATGTAATTAAGATATGTATAAGCTAAACATTTATTGATAAATGTAACAGTGATGTCCTTATTGAATTGATATAATTACAAATGTACCAACCTGAACATGAGACAGTAATTGTTAAGGGAAAAAGAGAAGAAACATTTGATGTTGTAGCCTGAGATTTGTACTAAGATTTTGTTATTGAGTTATTGATTAACCCAGTCACCACGTAACTTTTTAAATACCTAAATGTAAAATTGCAAAATTAATAAAATATTATAAATAAAATAAAATAAACATATAATTATATACCATGTTATTGCAAGACTGATTCTCATATTAAAGATCAACTAATGTGCAATATCAAAATAAACAAAATTAATAGAAATATAATTTGCAAAACCTTGGAAAAATATAGCCATCTTATTCTGCATTAGCCATATCTACACTTCCAGTGTTATGTTTGCATATGGGCACGAGACCTGGGAAGGATTTAGAGAAATAATTGAAACAGATTCAGAAAAGAGCAGTGAAGATCACAGGGTTAGAAATTAAGTTCCATAATATTAGCTCTGTTCTTCAAAATTACTTAGACATTCAACAAAGCAAAGCTAAAAAATAATCTTTATTATCACTTAAAATAGGTTATTACACTGTGCCACAATAAGAGTTTAGCCTCTTCTATAATAACTACGGTTCAAATCCAGTGCTTGCTCTGAGTATTAAATTATTTAATTAACAAAATTTACTTAATAAAACAAAGCCACCTCTGACTTTTGCAAGTAATGGGAGATAAGGAGAACTTCAAGAGCTAGCTGAACAATAGGGAGTCCATGCTTGAATGGAATATAACCTCTCTGCAGACTTGACCTGCAAATAATATTTTCTAGTAATCACAATGCATAATGAACTTAATGAGCTGTATGATGAATATTCAAATCTAATGAAGCATCTTCAGTCCATCTAAATAGGCAGATACATGGAAATGCTAGACTTAACTAAAACAATGATGTGCGAAAACAAGTATGATTGAGGAATAAATGTACTGCAAATCAAGACAAGAAAACCTAGACACACTTTCCAAATTGTCCTCTGAACTATAAAAATGTTCCCCAACAAGACTGATGAAAACCAGCTGTTCAGAATTCAATACTTTTATGTTATAAAATAAGAGATGAAAAGGAACACTGTGAGAAGTGTGTGAAGTGTGTACGTGTATCTGGGAGAGTTTCTCCATTCTATATTTTCTGTTCTATTTGCTTCTACTTCTCTTGCTAATTTTTCCACAGTGGAGAAATTTTGGAACCAAGAGAATTACAATACAACTTTTGATAACCATCTGATTACTAATTTAAGCAACGCAGCTGCTTGCATGACTTGGAAAAACAATGCAGTATGCTTCTAATTAGTTGTGCTGGAATTGAGGAATATATTAATAAAACAACTGTATTCAAACTTTAATTCAATAAATTGATGCCACTGTGATGTCTGTGCCTACTGAGAACAAAATTTCTGAGAGGGGAAGAAATAGTTTATTTATATTTTTCCTCTCACACTAACCAGCAATAATGCTGCACTCCTAATCCAAAGTCTTATTTGACCTGAGCTCAACTCCAGATGATTATACTGCATTGACATGCCCATGTATTTTTCTGGGCAATAAAATGGAAGTGGTTTGCCATTGTCTTTTTCTGAGAAATTCTTTCAACTTCCCTGTCTAGTCTACATCCCTGGGATTTCCTGTTGGCCTCTCACCAAAATATTATGTCTCACTCTGCTTAGCTTTTCAGGATCAACCAAAGTCAGCCAGCAATATGAAAATGAGAACAGCTACCACAGGTAGAGATCTTTCAGGATTAACTCATACACATGAGTACTAGTTGTAAACAATACCATGAGGTGGTACTGTAAGTTATTGCAATGCATTCTACATGGGGTTATCTTTTGAAGAATATCTGGAAGATGCAGCAGGTGCTGAATGTGGCAGTATTGGGGCTCATCTGGGATTGCATATATAATACCTTGGCTACATGACCTGCATTGGGTGCCAATTTGCTTCCAGGTCCAATTCAAGGTGTTGGTTATTACTTTTAAAGCCCTATATGGCATGAGACCAGATTACTTGAGGAACTGTCTTGTTTTAATTACATCAACTCATCCCACCTGATCAGGCAAGGAGGGTATGTTGTGGACCCTGTCAATCAAAGCATTTTTATTGTCGGGGTCTAAGAAGAGAAATTTCTCAGCTGTTTCTTCCATCCTATGGAATATCTTGTCCCTGGTGGGTGAGGTGGGCCCCCACTCGGCTGGCCTGCTCTAGATGAGGATCAAGTCCTGGCTCTGCCAACAGGCATGGGGATCTAAAAGTGGCATGGAACCTTGTGGGTAGTTGGGGAATTGAGAATGCTCCCTCTGCCTTTTTAATTTTTTAACTTGTTTTTATTCCTGTTTTAAGTTCGTATTTATTTATGTCTCTTTTAAATGGCTGTGTGGCTTTTTATTGTAAGCTGGCCACAATCACTTAGGTGAGATGGGTGGCATATCAGTTTGAGAAATAAATAAAATAAATGTTATGAAAAGATTCATGTTAGAGGTGGCTGAAGGCTACTTCTTCTTCTTGTGCCATGTCCGTTATCGGATGTTGGCGATCATGTTGGCAATCTTGTTTTTATCAGCAGCCACACAAAAAAGTTCTGCTGAGTTTTGTTCAAACCAGTCCCTTAGATTTTGAAGCCATGATGTTCTTCTTCTGCCTGGACCTCGTTTGCCTTCAATCTTTCCCTGGAGGATTAAATGGAGTATGCCGTATTTTTCTGGATGTCGCATCACATGTCCGAAATATTCTAACTTTCATTTTTTAATTGTTTTGATGATTTTTCTTGGCTTTCCCAGGCGGCTTATCACCTCCTTATTTCTGATCTTGTCAACCCAGCTTATACGTAACAGCTGCCTGTAAATCCACATTTCAAATGCTTCTAGTCTCTTCAGGTGGCCTTCTGTCAGAGACCAACTTTCTACTCCATAAAGCAGGATAGAAAAAATATAACATCTGACAAGCCTGATTTTCAATCTTAGGCTTATGTCGTGACTGCAGAAGACCTTTTTCATTTTGAAGAATGCTGTTCGAGCTTTCTCTATCCTGGTATTTATCTCAGTGGTCATGTCCCAGCTAAAATCCCTGTTAGAAAGACACTTTGGCAGCTGCTCAAAATGCTGGCAAGTGCTCTATTCCAGAGATCCCCAACATCTGAGCCACAGCCACACAAATGGTGGAAGAGAACTCATATCCCCACTTGCGTGAGCAGTGAGCAAGTGCATGCACGCACACTCCATTTGCATGAGCGGCGGGCGGGCATGCATGCATGCCACTCACACAAATGGAGCTGCACACACGCACCCCAGTCGCTCGAACTGAACCATCCCCTCTCTATCTCCCCGCCAGCCACAAAACCGGAAAGTTTGGGGAACTCTGCTCTATTCCAATCACGTGACCTATACTAGAGTACATCCATCCCATCCTAGGCCTTCCAATGCACAAGCATCACACACACCAACACAACACAAAGGGAGAGTCAAACCCAGATAGATGTAACATGAAAGTGTACATAGAAAATATACATCCATCTCTTCAGGCCTCTGCTGGTAAAAGGGTTGGAAACACTTCCAGAAACTTGGCATGTGATTCTTATGCCGCTTTTCTTTAAGCAGGAAAAGTCCAATTAAAAGTCCAATTGACCGAGCCACACATCTAGGAAACATATTTTTCCCCAACTCAATATTTTTACCTCAATTTCTTCTAAAGAACTGTGGAAGCTGATCTGCAGTATAGAACTGCTTCAGTTGGAAAAAGAATGATTGAGTTACTAAATAAAATAATCTTTTAATACTAAAATGACATCATTTATTATCCCACCTTTATTATTTTTATAAATAACTCAAGGTGGCAAACATTCACAATACTTCTTCCTTCTATTTTCTCTACAACTCTCTGAGGTGAGTTGGGCTAAAGAAAGTGACTGGGCCAAAGTCATCCATCTAGCTTTCATGCTTAAGGAGGGACTAGAACTTACAGACCCTGGCTTCTAGCCTGGTAACCACTAGACCAAACTATATTCATCTCTCATATTTCCAATCTAGTCCTCTCATAATGCCCCAATTTCTGGCTAAAGCTTCATTCATCCAAGCAAGCCAGCAGTTTTATTTGTGCAACGTGTGTTATATCATTAATTCAAGGAACTGACACAGGATCCTAAAATCAAAGTCAAGTACAGGTTTGAGATACTACTTACCTTGTGGCTTTGAGTTTGAAGCTGGCCACGGAGAATACTTAACTGGATTGTTTCCATTTACTCCCTGAACCACTTCATTGCAGATGCTTGGCTTGTACAGCCTAATTGTACTGTTTAAAGAGTAGGTTGGAGTAACTAAGATCTTTGGACACGTACTGCCACCTGTAAATAGAAAAAGCTGATGTAAACATGGCTGAGTATAAAGACCACCTTCTTGATTCATTGCACAAACCAAATGTGCAACTGGGTGTGTTTTCTATTCAAGGATCCATAGCAAAGTGATAAACATCATCATCATCATCACCGCAATTCTCCCTCACCTAAACATTCTGCAATGCGCCAAAATACAGAACTACTAGCAGAAATAAGTTTATCCACTTATGAATTTATGACACTAACACAAGATTACTAGTGTTAACAGTTATGCCTCCAAATCCCAGTAATTTTATTTTGATACAATGTCAAAAAAAAACAACCAGTTTTCATTTTGTCATAAATATCCAAGTGCACAACTAAAAGTCACCAATTCCAATTTTAATTGCTTATATCCTAAACTATTCACTTCCTTCCGTCTCAACTCCAAAGCCACACATAATAACGTTCAAAAGTTTCAGACAGCAAGCCAAAGAACCATTACATCAGTTCAGCCAAGGGAATACTGTACATTTGGTTGGGTTAACATTATTAAGGAGGAGGACTTAATTTTTTAAAGAAGTCCGAATGAGTGCCAGTTATTAAGAAAAAAACAAAACACAAATACAGCTGTGAAAGCAGAGATGAGATTGCCATGTGATGCTCTGGGACTACAGCTGCAGAATTTGGCTAATGAGAGTCACAAAAGGCCAGGGCAGCGTGTACCTCATATTTCCTAGCAGCGACATCAAAAATGTGTCATGCCAATGACTATGAGTTAATAATAAAAACAGAATAGGCAGCAGGCAGATTATGAAATGTTAGTCATATTGAAATTGGAACCTCAAAATGTAAGAAAGTTATCCACAAAGGAAATACTACCCTGACTAAATCATGCTTAAACTGATAATAGTGAAAGGCATACAGAGGGAAGGGAAGGGAAAGGAGCAAGGGAAGGGGAGGGGAGGGGAAAGGAAGGGGAGGGGAAGGGGAAGGGGAAGGGGAAGGGGAAGGGGAAGGGGAAGGAAAGGAAAGGAAAGGAAAGGAAAGGAAAGGAAAGGAAAGGAAAGAGGAGGGGAATGGGGAGAGGAAGGGGAAGGGAAGATTAGATCTATTTTAATCTCCAACCTATAGAGAAGGTAGAAGTAGAAGTAGATATTTTCCTATTTTGCATCAGTAATGCACAATTTTTCTCTTTGAACCCTACTGTGATTTTGTTTTAATTTATTTTGATAGATATTACCCAATAGACCATTTGCCAGAAAAAAGCTATACAGTGTAGCAGAATTATCTTAATTAACACAAAATGCTTTAAGCACATTTTTGGATCCTCCTCGTTTTCCTTAATTTATGAGTTTGGTGATAGAATTTTACTCTGTTAAAATTGGGAAAAGGAAAGATACTAAATGTTCTGGAAATGAGCAGAAAGGAGGACATATTGTACCCTCTGGGTTCTACTATCTTCAAGGAATAATAATTAAGCTTTATACTGTAGTGCTTAATGGTGAAATCCTTGAGACAGCAGCATTGTATCATAGTATCATTCATGATTAACTTAAAACAATTAATTTATTGGTAATATTGTGGGCATTTTAAACTTCCGGTATTTGTCAAGGGCTGTTGCATCCTGTTTCTAAAAATATTAGCTTCCTAGTTCTAGTATGTGTCTTTACAGTAAAAAGCATTTTCTATATTTAATAGTATGCAAAGTATGCAAAGTCTTGCCAAAAAAGCTAGATATGATATTCAAATATATAGGTGTGTTAAAGGGAAATTCAACAGAATTTAAAAATTCCCTGAATTTTTTGAACAGGAAAATGATTACATTTATAATGAAAAATGCATTGCTAAGGCTTAAAAGAAAAGTTCAGCAGATCATCTACAGCAGAGGTGTCAAACTGCTGGCCCGCGGGCCGGACGCGTCATCCGGAAACCGCGCTCACCCCATTGCCAGCAATGGCAAAACCGGCCCGATACGTTGCGCGACATCACGAGTTTGACATGTCTGATCTACAGTATTCCATTCTGTGACAATCTTCACCAACTTCATCTTATAGCTTAGCCTCAGGCTTATAAAGGGCAGAAGAAAGAACAGCCTTTCTCCTCCTGTATATTCACACAAAAAAGGGTTTTTTTAGGAGGAACAGCACTTCCTATTCCTAATCTCATTGGAATTCTTTAGGAAGGTCCAATAAACTTTATTCAAAGCCAGAAAAGATTCCAGCTCTGCCTTGTGAAGTCATTAAACATTCTTTTCTACTGTTAATCGTTTTAAGATGGGAATAAAGGTTATGATAACTAAATAATGTTGTTGTCTTATTTAGAAAAACATCCACTCACCTCAAACAATCTTACCCAAGCCGGAACTAATCTTACAAGAGCAGAATTCTGACAAACATAGATTAACTACATTTTAACCAATTCTCCAGGAATTTGTGCACTCTGGTCGCTTTATGTATGCGAAGCTAAGTCAATCTTAATCTCCACAATTTTTGCAAATTATTCTGGCCCTCTTTCCCCCCCCCCTTTTCCTTGTTATTCCCTGATTTTTGCCTAAGATAGGAAGGATGTGTATTCCTTCCTATCTTAGCTATCCTGTCGTGGATTACTTCACTTAGTTAAAACTGATTACAGATAAGACCAAGATCCTGGTATTTCAACAAGTTTGTCCTTTCTATGCCTTTCCTCACTTTTCTTCTCCTCCCCTATTGCAGTGCTATGTGGAGGTCCAGTGTCAGTGAGGGATCTGTTCTGGTTTCGTTGGGTTGGTTGGTTTTTATAACTTCTTGAAAAAAACTTTGTAATGCTGAGTTTTAAGGAAGTTTGGAAGAAACAGTGTTGCTTTAACAGGCAGCTAAGTTCAGAAAAAACTAAATAAATATGTGGTTCTTGCTTATCGACCCCTTGTTCAGCAATTGTCTGAAGTTGTGACAGAATTGACCAAGTGGTACTTATGTCCAGTCCTTGAAGTTCCAACCATTGCCGTCTCCCAACAGTCATGTATCATGATTTGAGTGTTTGGGAAACTGCTTGCATTTACAACAATTGTAGTGTCCCATGGCTACAAGACTGCGATTTGCAACTTTCCCTGCCTACTTCCCACAAAGAAAGTCAATGATAAATCTAGCATGAAAGGTTGCTAGTTGCTCTGGTAAGTCCCTCTGAATTTCTTGCACTTACATCCCACCCCACTACATCATCTTTCCAGCCTTTCTTTATGGGCACCCAGCTATACCATCCACCTCCTGTACTTGCGTGCGCACACACACACACACAATACCCCCAATACAAACTCCAGCTTGAACAGACTCCCCCCCCAAAATATATATATATATTTCAGGATTGCAGCCCAAGCAAGAAAGTTGTTTTCCTTTCTTGTTATGTACTGGAGACAAAACTGAGATGGGTTGGACTCTTACTCATAACTCTCCTGAGTAACAAAATTCAACTGAAGAAAAGTCCACTATATGACAGGTTTTAAAGATCATCAGAGCAAATGATAAGTGGATTTCCTGAAAGATTGGATATTCAGAAGTATTTGCATGGCTCAGAATGTTCCATTACAGAAAAGAAGTGACTTTTTTGGCATCAACAAGGAGGAGAGGGAAGAAACAGCAGTCCACTAACCCAGTTCTAAGCTCTGGTTATGCCCCAGCACTCCATCATATCACTTCTATTCTGCATTACTTTTCAGAGCTTAGACATATTCAGCACATGTGGAAATTATATATATTCTATAATGGCCACATTGGGTATCCCTGTGCCTGCTCCAATCAGAGCACACTGTAACTGTTCACAAAACAAATGTAATTTTATCAATGAAGAATCTATTTTTTTGGATTTGCACATTTACACTGAGTTACAGAGGTACAGACATTGGCTGTAATGGTTAAGGCACCAGGCTAAAAATCAGACATATAGTCAAGGGGTTCTCAAACCTGGCCACTTTAAGATTTGTGGACTTCTGGGAGTTGAAGTCCACAAGTCTTAAAGTGGCTAAGTTTGAGGACCCCTGTTCTAGTCCCATCGTAGGTACAAAGCCAGCTGAATGACCTTGAGCCAGTAACTCTCAGCCCTAAAAAGAAGACAATGGCAAACCACTTCTGAAAATCCTTGCCAAGAAAACTGCAAGGATCAGTCTAGGCAGTCACCAGGAGTCAAGACTGACTGACAGACACGTTTGTGTGCTGTTTAGAACTGTAAATTGTTTAGAAGAAAATGAAACTGACTGAAAATTAAAAACACTTCAAGGAAAATAATTATTATTGGCTTGTATCACCACAATGCAGGTGGTTCAGGGGCTGGGGGTAGGGAAAGAGCTCAAGAAACAGTTAAGGTAATCACTTTGGCACTGAAAGATAAAGTCACTATTTCTTTGTTATTATATTTACACATATTTGTATATACACTTTGTCTCATCTTGTTACTATAAGCAGCTGTGTATAAGAATAAATAGGATTATCATTGATTTGCTACCTCCACATCCTAACTCATCTTTGACTCATCTTTTCACTGAATCTCTGAGCCTATTACCTACATCAATCACAACAACAGACAAATACTTTGCTTCTTTTGGAAAAAGAGCTACAGTACTCAACTGAGGCTGACCTGCCAGATTTTTCCTAATCTGGATGGATTCCATTAGATCAGACATTATTGCTAAAAACATACGGCATAATTACTTACAGCCTCCTTGCTACTTAGAGGCAGTGAACTGAATGAAGTGATTTAAAGCAGAAACCAGAAAGATGGCCTCTCCAATTGCTAGCAAGTTTTTAGAAGTAAAAAACTTGTTAAGTGTAAGAGGGGGAGTATGCCATGGAAAAGGAAAAAAGGGAAAAAAACTATCAAAGAGAATGCAACAGATTTTACTCACAGAGTTAAGCCAAATCTTTTAGCTTCTGCATGGAAGCTGATAATTGTGGACAAAGAAATACGAAGCATACTATTCATATCAAGCATTTTCTTAAACACGGATAGCTGCAGTATTCATAAACAGCTAATAACATTAACTGTTCCTATAT